CCTTACCTTGGAAACAGTCACAGGCACGCTGATCTTTGACTTCTGGTCCACTGTTCTCACTACCAAGGCCCCTCCCCTGCCATGCTGCTTTCTTTTGAGGTAATGCATTCACAAGTATCTGTGTTTCTTCAGACAGGAATGGCCTGAACAGGACTAAGCTAGCTGAGCCTTAGCAAATCTGGAGACTTTTGTCTGTTTGGGACCTTCCTTTCCAGTTCCCATCTTCCCACCATCCTGTTCTTATTCTTCAAAGTTATTTGTACCTTCTTAGAAATATAGTCAAACTTGCCAGAAATGGGCTTGATAACAATCACTAATATCATACTCTTGCTGAGAAGTTTGGTGGTTCTTAAATCAATCCAGGGTAGCTATTAAAATTGCCTAAACAACTTTTTTAAAAAAATACCTAAGTTTTTATCTCAGTTTGAGATTTCCACTCTAGGAAGGCTTGGGACAGAATCTGAACATTCACAATCTTTTTTTTTTTCTTTTAAATCTTCTTGGTGATTTTGATATCCCATCAGATAGAACCCTTGAAGATCTGATATGTCTTGTTTTATCTACTCCAAGGTTTTTGTATTTCCCATTGTTCAGTAGCAGATCTGAATGTCATTGCTCAATAGGTAGGCACTACTTAACATATTTTTGAATTCTAGGTCAGTTAAGTTCTGCTTATTTTGTACCTCATTGTGTTTTCCTCCTCCAGAGGGCCCCAGAGGTCAGAGACAATTGGGAGCTGAGCAGGACAGCGACTCATCACGCAAGAAAGACAGTCAGATTTGAGTTTTTCTTTGTTGAAGGGATTCATGCTGTATTTTTAGTTCCCCTATTCTTTCCTGATGCCTCATTTTCAGCTCTCGGACTTTCTAAAGGATAAAGAACACTGTTTTCTAGTCAGGGTAGTAGCTAGTTTGTTCAGAACATAGGGCTGGGACTAAGGTTGAGAAGGGTCGTCTTTAAAATTCTTTGTATATACTTAACAGTAAAAAGTTGAGTTTGTCTTAAATGATTAATACATGACTAATTAGGTATAAATTATGTACACATACAGTATCACCAAATGTGTTGTATTTCCTATCAAATATATCCCTCAAAATAGAATGAATGAAATATTGCAATACGTGAGGTAATTTTGGATACCTTTATTTTAGGAAATGTGTTTCCTTGATTGGGCCAGGGTTTGGGAAGAGTGTAGAGATGATCTTGTTTGTTTTTGATGGACATCTTTCAAGCTCCAGTTGTTGTCTTGATGTTTTAGCGATAGTGGATTACCTGGAGAAAGAAGAAAGCGTGACAAGAAAGCGTGACCTAGTGTGGATAGCTCATAGGCAGTGAGGAAGGCTCTGAGGGACAGTGGAAAAAGTTTGCAGCAGTAGGTGGCAAAACAGCAGGTTCCCAAAGCAGGGGCATGGGACAGCCTTTGTGTGGCGTCTGTCACATGCAGCCCTATAAACAAACACTCTGAAATCAACTTGGATTCATACCACATTTTAAGTTGTCATCTTTTTTGAGGGTGGGGGTGGCTACCAGAGATTGAACTCAGGGGCACTCAGCCACTGAGTCATACCCTCTGTCCTATTCTTGTGTGATGAGAGTCGCTGTCCTGCTCAGCTCCCAAGTTTTTATTTAGAGACAGGGTCTCACTGAGTTGCTTAGCACCTCTTTGTTGCTGAGGCTGGCTTTGAACTTGCAATTCTCCTGTCTCAGCCTCTCAAACTGCTGGGATTACAGGCATGCGCCACCATGCCTGGCTTAAGTTGTCATCTTGATAACTTTCCAATGATGGAAAGATCCATGGAAATGGTATCCTCATTTGAAATGATTTAGCATTACTCAATATAAAAAGAGAATAAAATTATGGCATTTGCAGGTAAATTGATGGAATTGGAGAAAATCCTGCTAAGCAAAGTAAACCAGTCCTCCCCAAACCAAAGGCCAATTGTTCTCTTTGATATGTGGATGCTGATCCATAATGGGGGAGTGGCCTGGTGTAACGGTGGTCCCTTCACCTTCACCTTCTGAATGTAGCCCTCATTGCTCTAAGGCTTTTTTTTTTTAAGTTGTAGATGGACACATACCTTTTGTTTATTTTTTTAATGTGGTGCTGATTATCAAATCCAGTGCCTCACACATGCTAGGTAGCATGCGAGCGCTCTACCACTGAGCCACAACCCCAGCCACTAAGGCTTTTTTTTTAAGTTTTTTTTTCTCTTTCTTCTCCCCTGTCCCCCTCCCTAACAAGATTAGGGAGACAGTGATATCTTTTCTTCCCCTAATTAATTGCCCTTGAACACATCCATTACAGGGAGGAGATGCCTGCTGAGGATCTGGGAAATGAGTCCTCCCAAATTAACAAGCGAATTCTAACACCATCTGGGCACCCCGGGACCCCCTACCAGAGCATACCTGAAATGTAAACCCCTTGTCCCTCCTGATTGAGAGAGTCACAATCTTTGGGACAGGAGTCCTTGTGTTTCTCCTTTGCTAGCAAACCTTTTTTCCCCCCTCAAAACCGTGTCCTTATTATTAAATTGGCATTGGGGTCAGAGAATGAGCTTTTGGTTACAATAGGGAGAATGGAGGAACTGTGATTGGCCCGGGGCAGGGGTGGGGTCAGGAAAGATGGTGGAATGAGATGGACATCATTACTCTAGGCACATGTAGGGTTGCACGAACAGTGCAACTCTACATTATGTACAACCAGAAAAATGAAAAGTTGTGCTCCATTTGTGTACAATGAATTGAAATGCATTCTGCTGTCATGTATAACTAATTAGAACAAATTTTTAAAAATGCAAATATATAATAATAATTCTATATAAAATTAAAAGAAATTTCCTCTTTGGATGTTGATTTTTTTCTTTCTTTCTTTTTTTAAACTGGGGATTGAATTTACATCCTCAGTTATTTTTATTTTTTATTTTGAGACCGGGATCTCTCTAAGTTGCTGAGGCTGGCCTTTGAACTTGCGATGCTTCTGCCTCAGCCTCTAAATTGCTGGGATTACAGATGTGCATCACTGTGCCTGGCTAGATGTCGGACCTCTTACTATATTTCCTTCCAGCTCTCTATCCATCTGGTTCTTTTACCTAACTAGGATGTAAAGACTTTTAAGAAGTGACATTAGATACAGAAAGGTTTTTGCTAGAGCAGACAAACTGTTAACTACAGAACTGGGGCAAAGCATTTGCCTAGCATGCGTGAGGCACTGGGTTTGATCCTCAGCATCACATAAAAATTAACAAATAAAATAAAGGCACTCCAAAAAGTAAAAAAAATAATTAAAAAAAGATAACTAATGAGCAGTCCTACCCCAGGCAAATCTGTAGTTACAATCCCAAGGAGGCAGCAGCAACAATGTAATTCGGGATCATGTGACATAACTCACCCAGAATTTGAAGAAGTCATGACTGTGAGCCCAAATTTTAGTTTTGTTGCTTATTTACCAACATTTACAAAGTTAGGAAGAATTTATAACTTTGGGGGAGTATCCCCAATAGCTTTTCTTTTTTGTGTACTGGGGGGCACTACCAGGCACTACCAGGGTCTCTCACATGTTAGGCAAGTGCTCTACCACTGATTTCCATTCCCAGTTCCAAATGGTTTAAAATACTATTTTTTTTTCAAAATAACAGCTTAAATTGTGTATTATTATTTAAAAACATTTCCCAGCTCTATTGAGGAATACATGACTAATAAAATGTAAGTAATAGCTAAGGTGTACAATGGATTGTTTTCCTATGTTTATACATTGTGAAGCTTAATAATTAACCTGGAATAGGTATGATTTTCATGCTTGGTGAGAACATTTAAAATGACCCTCACTCTCATAAGCTGGGTGCAGTGGCATGTCTGTTGTCCCAGATACTTGTGAGGCTATGGCAGAAGAATCACTTGAGTCCCAGAATCTGAGGCCAGCCTGTCCAGCACAGTTAAGAGTTTCATTTCTTAAGAATAAATAAATAAGCCGGGCCTGTGGCACACCTGTAATCCAGCGACTCGGAGGCTGAGGCAGGAGAATCTCGAATTCAAAGCCAGCCTCAGTGAAAGTGAGGTGCTAAACAACTCTGAGACCTTGTCTCTGATAATACAAAATTGGGCTGGCGGTGTGGCTCAGTGGTCGAATGCCCCTGAGTTCAATCACCAGTACCCCTCCCCCGCCCCCCCAAAAGAATAAATGAATAAAAAAATAAAAGGATTCAGCATATTTCAGGTACACAATAGGGAAGTGTTGACTACATCACCATGCTTTACATTAAAGTGTTTACCTTGGTTAAAGTGTAGATGCAGGTGAAGGTTAGTAAGGATCCTACTTTCACTGATGCCTTAAAATATAAGTATATAATTATTTGTGGTAACTTAAGAATAATGTACAAGTAGGCTGTTAGAGCTGATAGGACACAACATAACTACTTGTCATTTCTCTTCTTCAACAAAGAGAAAATGGAGTGCTATAACTTGCCTGAGGTCACACTGGTAGTTAAGAGCAATGCTGGGACTTGACCAAACTAGACCAAATTTCCTGAAAGTATCAAGTAAAATCACTGTTTAATGATTTCTAGTTTAGTGCACTTTCTACTTTTGTCAGTCATGTGACTCCTTATATAGCCATGAGGTTATTAACTGAAGTGTTTTCTTCTAATATTAAACTTATGGGTGTAGATATAATTTTTTCTTTCTTCCTTCCTTCCTTCCTTCCTTCCTTCCTTCCTTCCTTCCTTCCTTCCTTCCTTCCTTCCTTCCTTCCTTCCTTCCTTCCTTTCTTTCTTTCTTTCATTTGGTGGTGTTGGGGATTGAACCCAGGGCCTTGTGAATGTGAGGCACTACCAATTGAGCTATATCCCCAGCCCTCTTTTTTGTTGTTGTTGTTGTTTTAAATATATAAATTCTTGGTTGAAGCTCCTTTTTGGATTATTTGTAGATTTGATTGTTAAGTCATTGAAAATGTTTGAAGGACCAACTGGGTCATGTCTTGCATTTGTTGTGTTTTCAACATTTAGGTTTTCCAAGGACAATAGTACAGGCTGAAGCCCTCGACAAAATCTGTGACCTGGATCTAGTGATCAGTTTGAACATTCCATTTGAAACACTTAAAGATCGTCTCAGTCGACGTTGGATTCACCCTCCTAGTGGAAGAGTCTATAATTTGGACTTCAACCCACCTCATGTGCATGTAAGAATATACAAAGTGCTTTCACAATCTGGCAAGAAAAAGGCAAAATTTTCCAGTTAAAAAGTGAATAGAGGACATGAATACACTGTTAAAAAACACTACATGAGTCTGGTACAGTGGTACCTGCCTGTAATCCCAGTGGCTTGGGAGGCTGAGGCAGGAGGATTGCAAGTTTGAGACTAGGCTTGGCAGCTTAGTGAGACCATGTCTCAAAATAAAAAAATAACAAGGGCTGAGGATATATCTCAGTGGTAAAGCACCCCTGGGTAAATTCCTAGTACCACAGGATGGTGGGTAGGGGGTACTCAAATTCAATAGCAGACTAAGGGAAACTTAAGTAACAAATAGAATGTCACTTTAGATCCACTGGACTCAGCAAATTTTTTAAAATATAGCATCTATGCTGATGGGGATCAGGGAAAAACAACACTCTCTTTTTCTGTTTGATAAAGTATAATAGACTCTTTAAAAGTCTTTTTAAAACAGGTAAAGTCATATATAGGGCGAAATTTTGTTTGTAATGACCAAAAAAATCAAAGAATGTTCATCTATAGGGAACTGGTCCAATAAATTGATATGACATCCATATCAGCTAAGAATATAAAGAATAATCAATAAAAATAAATTAATTAGATCCCTAGGACTGCCCCCCCCCCAAAAGGACAAAAGAGTACTTAGTAGCACAATGCTTTTTGATAGGAAGAAATTTCCTGAAATTATCATTGAACAAGAAAATCACACAGAATGGCCTCCTTTTTGCAAAACAGTGTCCACATCTTTATGTGTATCTGAGTGTGTAGATATGCTGACAGTGAAAGGCCAGGGAGTAAGTTTTGAAGGAAATATCCTACATTGGCAAAGAGGCTGGGGTGGACAGGATAAGGGAGTGGGGTCACAGCTGATGTGTGTGAGGGTAGGGGAGAAGCGTTTAAGGAATGGAAAGATTGCCCATAAAAACTCAGTATAATAATTATATGGTATAAAAGTAGGCAGCTGTAATGATACTGTAACACATTTGTTTAGGGTAATTCCTCCCCCCCCCACCCCTTTTTTGTACTGAGAATTGAACCCAAGGACACTTTACCACTGAGCTACATCTCCACTTGGTCCTTTTTAATTTTTTACTTGGAGATTGCAATCCTCCTTTCGCAGGCCCCTGAGTCTATGGGATCACAGGTGTGAACCACCATACCTGGCATAATGGTTCTTTTTTTGATGTAGACTTTTTTTTTCCTGCCCTGTACTGGGAATTGAACCAATGGCCATAGGCATGCTAGACAAAGGATTACCACTGAGCTACACCCCCAGCCCCTGATATAAACCATTTCTAATTTATCTTTATGTTAAAAACTGACTTCCTGATACAGATTGAACTAATGCATTAATCTAGTCTAATAACACTGAACTCCTATTGTTGGTTGGTAGGTAGTATTTCTTGTCATTATCCAAAGTATTCTCCAAAGGTGGAAAAAGCAGCATTATGTCTTACTGGGTTAATTTTTGTGGAAAAGCCTTGACTTGAATATAAATGGAAATAGTAATTACTACAGAAAATCCCTTCCAGAGTTAATGATGCTGCCCCCACTTCTGGCTGGTAATAGTAATATCCCAAATGAAATCTGATCGTTTAGGTTAAGCAATAAACTCCTTTTGAAGTTTTCTTCAAAAAGTGTAAATAGTTCTGTAATACCTTCCTTAGAGCCCCTTTTTATTTATTCACTCATTCATTCATTTTAGAGACACTGTCTAGGTATATAGCCCAGGCTATTCCCAGTCTCCCAAGTAACCTGGACTGCAGGCATGTGCTGCCTCGCCAGGCTAGATCCTTTTTTCGTTTTAACTCTAACAGGCTACAATTAGGAAAATAAACAGTGGGAAGAAAAAAAAAGGAGTTCTGACATAGATAGGAAGTCCACTGAAGTCCACCACAACACCTGACATCTTAACTTTGTCCAGATCTACTAGTGCAGATTCTATAAAAAATGAGAAGCTTTATTACTGAGTTACTTTCCCAGACTATTATAGTGGTATTCCCAAAGATAACAAAGTGCTAACCTGGCCAACTCTACCAACCCTCTTCCCAGGAAGGAGGGATGCTATTGCCCTAGTGTCATCCTGGTCTTTCTGGGAGTAGTATTGTATTTACTGGAACCCTTCTATGAATTTTGAGCATTGTGGTTACATGTGAAATAAAGAAGAGAGAAATCTAGGTGATGCACAGACTGGTCCCATCCCCAGCTCTCCTGTCATGTCAGTTAACTAAAATGGAATACACATGTAATAATTATGTGGTTCACCGATAAATCACACATGTATGTCATGTCCCCGAGACCCTGAGCTGTAATGGAATTTTAGTGTGTTTCAAATTTATGACCAGTTTCTGATTATTCATTTGAGTTGCCTGAGCCTTTTGGTTCTGCTCCAGCTGCCTTTGACAGATTTATTTCCTGCGACTTTCCCCTGATGAATGGTAGCTACGGACATGAGAGGCAACATTCCAATGTGTCCATTTTGTTCCATGTAAATAGGTGTGCCTCCTAGGGAGATTAAAAGATACGAAAAATCAGTGTTTGTTTAAATTACAATTTTTCAGTTCTAAGAATGCTGTCCCTGATTTGGGTCATGATTATTTTAATATACTTTTAGATATGTCATTATTTGATCTTGTAAAATAACCCAAGATAAATTTCAGAGAGGCTCCATAGTAATTTGAAAGCTGGCAGAGATGTCATCTTAGAGATTAGAATTTTTCCTAAACAATCAAGTTGGTTATTTAAAACGTTTTATTTTCCAGATTAAGAACTCAAGCTTTAGGGACTGGGGATGCAGCTTAGTGGTAGAGCACTTACTTACTTAGCATGTGTGAGGCACTGGGTTCAATTCTCAGCACCACATATAAATAAATAAAATAAAGGTCCATTGACAACTTAAAAAAAAAAACCACTCAGGCTTTAGAAAATGAGGCAGTTTTAGGAATATTTAAATATTTAAAAGGCCAGAGTGACATTGTCCAAAGGTTTTTTGTTGGGGAGGTTGCTTGGAATTTAAATTGAATTGGAAGTCTCATTTATCAACAATAGTGGACAATATTTGGAAGGATATGACAATTAAAAAAGATTCAATGCCAACTCTCAAAATAATGTCAACACACTGTGCAACCACTAGCTCTTATTCAACTCCCTTCACAGTGCCCACTGTCTCCCAGCTGTACTTACTCATAGGCGAGTACATGGGTTTGCACAGGAAAGTTCTGACCTGTGGATTGGTCCAATGGTTCATCGTACTAACTGGTTTCTCTGGTGGTTTCAGGGAATTGATGACATCACAGGTGAGCCACTCGTCCAGCAGGAGGATGATAAGCCTGAAGCGGTTGCTGCCAAGCTAAGACGGTATAAAGATGCAGCCAAACCAGTCATTGAACTATACAAGTAAGTGTGCTTTATTTTCATGGCAAAGGATCAACTAAAAAGTATTTGGAGACTACTGGGAAGGACATTGTACTGAGGCAGGGAAATGTTTCCTGAGCTGGATAAAGGTCCATTGTCTCCCTTGAAAGTGGATGAAATGCTGGAATTGTACCTGGGAACCCAGGAGTCTAGGACTTTTTTTTTTTTTTTTAATCTTGGAACTGTTTATAAAATAAGAATCCCTCCACATAAGTATGTGATCTGGACAGAAGATTAAGCATAGATGTGTTTGTAAGGTATTTAACAAAGAAAAGTCAAAACCAGGAATTTGGGTTTGCAAATTCAAATGGCCACCAGGGCCAGACAGGTTTTATGTATGAGTCTTAAGGATGAGGATGTAGCTCACTGATAGATTGCTTGCCTTGTGTGGGTGAGGGCCTCAGTTCTATCCTGAGCACTGGGGAGATGTGCTAAACCATGTAGTTGAACTGTACAGCACCTAGACTGATCATCATCACCACGGGGACACACAGGCACAGTGTGACATTTTTGAGGAGAAGCAGAAATATGACTCTGTTTGGAAGAAAAACATCTCAGCTTTAATCTTTCAACAAATTAAAAAATTTTAAGCGACATGCAAGACAAACAGATATTCTGGCTATTTGGGGGATAGCAGTTTACAGCTTCTGCTATAACCAACTTCTCACCTTGTAGATCCCCCAGTTCCCCATTTAGCAAACCTTTAGATTTGATATTCTGATCATTTTAAGATTCATATTGTGGTCCATGTCTGATTTTTATAAGTATCACAGGTTTTAGAATATCAAAGATTGACAGTGATCTGCTTTTGAAAAGTCTATTTGAGGCAAATTTGGGATTGTGCCTGTCACATTATCCTTTTTTTTAGGGCAAAACACAAGGTGGCATCATGCAAGCAGGCCAGAATTGCAAAAGCCAGTGGCCTTGTTTAGCTGTGCCCAAGAGAGGCCTCCCAAATTTGAAGCTGGGAAGTTTTGACAGTGTGACGTGTGATAGAGACCACAAAATCATGCTTTTTTTTGTATCCCAGACTTTATCTGTGCTAATGCTGTGTTAAAAGAAACCAAAAATGCCTTTGTGTCTGTTGGACTTTGTTTTTCAGGAGTCGAGGAGTGCTCCACCAATTTTCTGGGACGGAGACGAACAAAATCTGGCCTTATGTTTACACACTGTTCTCCAACAAGATCACACCTATTCAGTCCAAAGAAGCCTACTGAGCCTGTCCCATGGAAGAACCAAGAAGATGTGGTCGTTCATTCAATCGTGTGTGTAACATTGATGCCATGTCCAAATTAGAAGTCAGCTGAGATAGCTTACAGCATCTTTTCTGTGTAAATGGTGAACTGATAGGAAAACTAGTAAATAGAAAGGGCTCATGAAGAGGCCCTCCTCTGTCTTTCAAAAGAAGGCAACTCTGGACCTGTCAAGCCCTTCACAAGCAAGCCAGTGCAGGCTAGATTTCAGGTGTCTAACCTACACTCTAGTTGGGTTTGGACAGCCAAGTTGTTGCTTTAATAGCCTCTTTTTGCATGGGATGACGGTGGTCTCTGGTTCTCCCCACCCTTCCAAGGTATTGAAACACAGAACCAGTAAACACGAGAATGCAGAGGACTCTAGTCTTGGCTTTGCCACAGTTCTCTGCTTTGTGCCCCCTCGTAACAGTGGAATTGAAGCTTATTGCTCTCAGTGGTTGCTTCTCTTGAGTGACTGTGTTCACAATTCATTTTTTTTTTCCTGCTAAGAGTAACGCCTTTCATCCATGCTCCATGGTGTCCCTCCTTTGCAGATATCCTGGAATGAAAGGATTTGTTTTCTTACATCTGTTTTCTCTCATCTTAGGATATTAAATAGAGGCTATTAAATAATACAGATAGTTGCTGCATTTATCCTTCTCAAATTTGTTTTTTTATGAACTGAGAGCTAGGGGTTACATTGAATCTCTTCATGCATCATGAACTGAGCCATGCAGAGGGTCTTATTTAAATGCTGGTCTGATTCTCATGGGCTTGTTCTGCTCATTTTATTGTGAAAAAAAATTAGAACCTCCCCCGCTGAATCTTTTGGAATCCTCAAAAATTAATCTATAGAAATGTTGGAAGATCATATTTTGTGTATAGAGGAAATAAGACCATATGGAATTACTGGACTAATAGAATAGTTAAGCTTTTTATTCAAGACAACAAAATGAATTTTGAATATGCTGCTAAATATTGATGGTGACAGTGTTTTTTCTTCTGTGAGTGATCCAAGCCGATTTATAAATAGTCTTTAAAGGGAACAGAGCCTTGTGGGGTTGAGGAAAATATTGCACTAGCTGTATCTAGATTAAGTTTGACAGCTTTACAACCCCCCATCCCCCCATTCCAAAGATGCAGTCTATGGGGTGGCCATATAGCCTAGAAATAAAGATCTTAATATTTTGCTATTCCTTGTATCAATAAGTCCTTTGTTAAAAGACTTTCCTGGTTTCCAGACTTGGTGGCCACCTTGTATAATTCTTGCTCTTTTTTGGAAAGAACAATGAAGTTTATTCCTGCTGCCTTAAAAATATGTATCCTTCCTTCATGCATCATGCCTGTCCCCAGGGAGTGTCCTTTACTATTCCTGGGAATGACTTCTGGCTAAACCTTCATACTGGTGAGGAGAAAAAAAGAAGCCAATTCCAGCACTTTACTGGTGTTGAAACACATCATTTACTTTCTAAAGGTATCCCGTGAATCCCCAGTCAGCTCACTACCTATGTGCTAATAAACCCATCTTCCTTACATATTTCCCTTCGTCCCTTCATATGAATATTCCTTGGCTATCTTAGTGGAAATACAGACCAGTGTCCTCATCTTCTCGATCACAGAAAAAACAAGATTGTTTACTTTCTCTCCAATGCAATTGCCTAGTTCAGGTCTGTGAAATGTTGAGTGCATTATTATGTTGACTCTGAGCACTTTATAAGAGTTGCATTTGGGGCTGATGATGGGGAAGGGATGAAAATCAGACATGTAGATAAAGCTCAGGTTTCCTGGGGAACCAGGTATAGAGAAAAACACATCCAATATGGAGAAAACTGCACAATTTAAACTGGTGTTTCCATGGAGATGGTTTCTACAAACTAGGAAAAGGAAAAGTAGAGTTCAGGTTGTTATGGATAACTCAGAAGAGGAAAGTGTGTGCATTTTTGAAGTACGGTGATCTCCAAACTCCTTTTTTCACTTCCTCCCTAATGTCGACATTGCCTTTAGAATTTTAGGGTAGTGGAAATGGTGAGATCCCTGATTGTGTACTCTGCTCCTCCATCCTTCTCTCTTTCCTCCCTCTCAGCTAAATATGCAGTTATAGCTGTTATCCAGTCTCTCTCAGTAAGCCTCCACAGTGCTTGCTGTTGGAGAGCTTGCCCAGTACCTGCGGGTCCTTTTGCTAGATGAGATTTACAAGACATTAACACATTTTCCACAGACTTGGAAAAGACAAAGCTTGTTTCGTGTTCAATGGCCTTTTAAACAACAACAACAAAATCATTTCTGGTTTTCTTCAATAAATGCACTAGTTTTCTTATGATTTTATAAAATCAAAGTTGGGTTGAAACTATTTTGACAACAGTAAAATTAAAGGGACATCTTTTCTTGGTTTTCCTTCCAATGCCATACCTGTAGTTCCTTCACATTGGAGCTGAGATTAGTTTGGATGGTCTTTCAGATTCTGACCTGACCCCACATTCTGTGGTTCTACCCAGCTCTTAAGTTCAGTTTGCTTTCCATCATCCTAATGGACTTCCCACTTACTGGAAAATTAAAACTGCTGTTGTGTTTATTTTCCAACACAAAGGCAGACTTATTGTAGGTACTATTTATTGAAGTTCTGCTGAGTGAAATGTGCATTTTATAGGACGTTTACAAACATCTCATGAATCTTTCTAGCATTCTTTGAGCTAGATCTGATCCCTCTTTTATAAACAAAGAAGGTAAGCATCAGGGAATTGAAGCATCTTGCCCAGGTTCCCCTGCCATTGAACAGTGTAGCCGGGACTCAAACCCAGGTTTTCCTGACTTCAAAGTCTGACATTTTCCCTGGATGTTAGCTACCTATGTCTTGCCTGCAAGCAACCCAGAGCCTTGAGCCTGCTTTGTTCTGCTTGTGGCCTTATATCAGAAGCTGTAGAATTCATTACAGTAACTGCATGCCGGAGGAGTGTCCGAGCCCTTGGGCCTCCCCTCTGAATTCTGTTCTACAAATAAAAGGTGGTTAAAGCAGGCTGATGGGCAGAGGAGGCAGCCTCATGGTCCTCATCCTGGCTTTTGGTGTCCAATGTGTTGTGACCTTAAGGAGCCTTTACCCCCTGAGATCTCCCTGGCCACGGTTCCTACACACAGGCCTGAGCTCCTTGGGCTCTCCAGACATGCTCTTCTTAATCAAAACAAATCCTTCCTTCGTTCCTGCCCTCAAACAAGGCCTTGATGGTAAATAATCATTCTGAAAGTGCTTTAAGGAAACAAAAGTGATCCAGCACCCAACACAGGGCAACTCTTGACTTTTTTGTACCATCATCCCTGTGTTGCTCCGAATGCAAATTCACGCCTTTGCCTGCCATCCACTTCTCATGCAGTGACTGTGGCAGTAACCAGGGGAGATTTACATCCTGTCCTGTCCTCCTTTCCTGGAGATCACTCCCTTGGCCACTCTCAGCACTGTAGCTCAAAAGAGCCCCTGTGTCATGCAAGGCCTACCCCTGTGTTTGGTAGGGAGAGGAAAAGGTAAAAATAGCGGTGGGAGAGGGTGACTTCTTAGAGGTGCTATGTAGTATTCAGACAGTGTAATTTCAGGTAGAAAAGATGCCTGCACAAACCCATACATAAGGGTTTTTTTTTTTTTTTTTTTTTTTTTTGTAAAATTTAGTTCACCAGAACCAGAGTTCAATATTTGACTTTAGTTATTTGTCTAAGGAGTTTAAGCCCCTGGGGACTTTTGCTAATCATAAAGACTTGTGTATTTCCAAGTGTGTTGGGGTATAGGCGCTCTTAGCAGTTTCTCCGTGCTAAGTGCATTACATGCAATATCCAAGGAAATCCTCAACAGTTACCCAATGTGACAGATGTTATCTTGATTATTTTGTCTTGTTGTACTTAAAGAGTGAGACATGTGCTTACCTGTACTTATAGGGATTTATTGGGAAATTCCGAAGGGTCTTTTCTGTACATCTCCCTAATTTAAATTCCCCATTCTCTTGAGTAGGTAAACCAATGCATATGCCCTCGCCTAGAAACTTTGTTCTCTTCTGGTGCTCTCATGCTGAGACAGGAAAATTGTACTCAGTGGGTCATGGCGGTAGTTGCACACTGTATATGCAGAGGGCATATGTCTCTGTACTCTGCTGGGTTATAGGATCTCAGGAGGCATTCATATCCACCAGATGAATTTCATTTGTTTACCTTTCATTTAACTGACAGTGTCTTTTCTGGTATATGCGAGAGAGGCAATTCATAAGGTCAAGTCCTGTTCATGGTTAGGAGTTGCTTTCTTTTTTCTCTCCAGTTTTAATAACTCCTGGTCTATTTGGTGTCTCCAGAGAAGAACCCAATATGGACACATTGTTTTGATATGAGAATGTGGTCTGGTCATAAGTTGTCATTCTTTTCCATATATAACAGACCCAGCCTGGTTTCCAGATGAAATGTGCAGCGTGAGAGTTGGGAAACCATGAGGCTATATTTTAATTATGAAAGAAAATCTGCTTTCTGTATTTGAGACATACTAAAAGTAAATTGCTCATAAATGCCATACCTTATCTTTCTTGTACCAAATTGCACAATTCTTGCCAGAATAAATGCCATTATCAGTATGCTTCAGGATATTCCTCAATTTGATCGTTGTGTGTATGTGTGTGGTGTGTGCGAGAGAGATAGGAGAAAACACTTCCAAAAAGGCACCGTCCTGCATACGAACTCCTTCCTCTGGTAACAATTAGGCTCTTTGAGGAAGTTCAGTGTCATTCTTTAAATGAAAGGTTTCCTGTTTAAAACTTTTCAAAGGAGCAGCCCACCTTAGATTCTCCCTGGGGAACAAACTATTTTGTATTTAACTTAGAAAAGAGTAGAGGAATGAAAAATGAACTCTTTATTTATGCTCCAAGGAATATTAGGGCTCAGAGGACTTTTCTAGTTTTATGAGAATTTGTACTACTGATTTTTATATATTCCTGTTTTTGAGATGAACAGATCTCTGGGGAGACTGTTGAGTTATAATGGCATTTCACTGTGATCCCTCTCAAGCTCAAGCCTGTTTTTAACCCGGCGACAACGACCTGTCTCTTCCGTTTACCGTCCTGTGAAATGTCAGCTCGGAGTTTCCCAGAAGTCGTGTGTTTACGATGAGAGTGCTTCTCCTTGGTGTGACAGCGGTTCCCCCTGGATGTTGGTGTATGTGCTCAGTTCAGAGCAGCTAACCCTGTTCTGTTCCGTATATGCTCTCCTAACTGTTGATTGTACTATTG